ATATAATAAGATGAAAAAAGAGAGTAATTGGAGAAGATTCTTTTAAGGGCAAGAGAGAGAAGAAACACAGAAAACACACTAAGGCTCCCAGTGTTCCTGAGGCTCTAATTTTATACCTTTTTATGTTTTATTTAAGAGACACAGATGAATTTGTATTAGGAGAACATTAAATAATATTTTGAGACATATATGGAACAAATACAGAAATATATAATACTAAAATTAATGTTTTACTTTATCTCATCACACCACCATGGCAAACTTCAATGAACCCACAATATACAATGGTCCTGAAAAAAACCTTTTCATGAACAATATGTCTTAGAGATTTTTTTATGGCAATAGGTACTGTTATACATGATTATTTTAATCGTCATATAGAATTCACCATATGTATTCATCATAATTTAGAATCTCCACTATTGATAATATTTATACAGGTATTAAGTTTCAGTGTTCTATTTCCAAAAGTACTATAATGCATATTCTTTAATATAAATAAATTCAGTTATTTCAATAGGATTAAAATTGTATGGCAAATGTAATGTGTTCAAAAATTAATAAATGCTGATCTGTCTAAAAGGCTTTCTAATTTATAGTTTAGTAGTAACATTTATTTTTCTCACCAAGGGTGTTATATTTTATTTTTTTAAAAATCTGATATATAAAAAATCATACCATAATATTTTAGTTTACATTTCTCTGAGCATATTTTTATTTGTTTAATGACAATTTATAATTCAGCAAATTAAATTTTCAGCATATTTCTTGCCCAATTTTTGCTGTTTTCTAATTGATTTTTTAAATTCTTTATACTGTCTGGATGTTAATATTGTGACAAGATTTTTCTTATGTTCCTTGTATTCTAACATTATATATGTTAGATAGAAGCTTTAATTTTTACATGCCCAAATTATCAAATTTTTTTATGACTTTGGGATTTTGTGTCTTCTCTATTAAAAGCTTTTCTTATTCCAAAAAACTAAAAAACATATTTATATTATTTATTTATTTATTTATTTATTTATTTATTCATTCATTCATTCATTCATTCATTTATAAGCTCTAGAATGGATTTATTCAGGGGAATTCTTTAAGCTCTCCTCTATATCTAACATATTTTGGATGATTGCATATTTAGCCTGTTCCTTGGTAGAATTAACTTCCACAGCTCTTAGAGAGAGATAACCTATTTATCTTCCTATTTGTTCCAGTAGAAGGAGACCTGAATATCCAGCTGATCCCTTGGGCCGTTGCTTTTTTTTTCATCTCAATTCTCAGTGCCTGCTTTATTGCAAATTGTTTGGGTAAGTTATTAAAAAAGTGGAGCTCTCCTTGAATTATTTCCCCAAACAGTTTTTATGAAGTTGCTCTAAACATTTTGTTGTCTTGATTTTCCCTACCAATCTATAATGCCTTCAGCATCTTGGATTTAAAATTCAGAGATACATACTTGACCTGCTATTCTTTGATGGTGTTGCCTTGTATCAGGGAGTGAAAGATGGAATCTAGACCCTTTTCTGTACATGTAAAGGTTGGTGACTGTAGGAAATCACCCCTCGTTTTGGATTAAGATTTAAAAAGGTTGCCTCTTATGAATAAAGAGTACTAGCAAAAAAAAAAAAAATAGTTGGATGGGAGGGTTATTATAATTAAATTAATATAACATAGGCACAAGTATAGGCAAATAAACCAGAGGAAAAGAATAAAAAGCTTAGTTACAGATCCTGCATATATAAACTCTTTCTATAAAACAGAAAGGCATATTGCAGAGTTATGGAGAAAGGATAATTTTCTTTAATTAATGGTATAATAGAGACCACTGATTATCCATATTTAAAAAATGGAATTGCTCTCCTGTCTTATATCATGTACAAAAACAAAACAGTGTGAATTATTGGCCAAAATGTGAAAATCAGATTAATAGCTCTTTTTAAAAGATAAATAGAAACTATCTTCATGACTTTGTTTCAGAGATTTCTTAAACAAATTACAAAGTGTTCTAGCCAATAAAGAAAATATTGACAAATTATACTACATTAAGTAAAAATTACTGTACAACAAAAAATACCACTGATTGAAAACACAAGGCCAAAGAAGATATTTATAATGCATATAATTAATAAAGAATGAGAGTCCAGAATATATAAACAACTTTTTCAAATCAATAGGAAGAATACTGACAATATAACAGAAAAATGGACAAAGTCTTGAATAAGTACTATAGAAAAGAAAAAAATGGAATGTCTAGTAAACACGTTTTAAAAATCAATCATTAGTTTTCAGGAAAATGCAAATTAAATTCACAATGAGATAGCACTGAAAATATACCAGGATGGTAATAATTAAAAAGTTTGACACGATCAAATATTGATAATGCTGTGGAGAAACTGGACCTCTTATGAATTGCTGCTAGTAGCAATGTAAAGCAGTACACTCACTTTGGAAAAGTTTGTCGCTATCACAGTTGACTATATATCTATATCTTATTACCAGCAATTTCACGCTTAGCCATATACCCTACAGAAAGGCATGATTATGTGGTCTAGGATGCATGATCAAAAATTATCAGAGCAGCATAGCTCACAGTAGGCAAACACTGGAAACAATGCAAATATCCACCAGAAGAAGAATAGATAAATACATATTCTTGCATTAAGATGATAAATCACTTTACAGCAATGATATGAGTTATAGTTGCATATAACAATGTAGATAAATTTCAGAAACAACCCTGAGTGGAAGACAGAACCAAAAGAATGCATATTGTATGGTTCCATTTACATAAAGTTCAAAAGCAGAAAAATCTGATCTATATGGTTTAGGAATATATTGTTAAGTGGTAAAAGTATGAAGCAAAGCACAAAATGATTAAAAGCTACAGCATGGTTACCTTTAAGAGAGAGGGGGTGGGTTGCATTTTGATGTGAAAGCTACCGAAATGTTGGTAATATTGTGTTTCTTGAGTTGGGTAGTTGTTACCTGGGTGTTCATTTTACAGTAATTTAATAAACTGTAAATTTGTTTTTTACTTCTTTACATTTGATTATATTTCAAAGTAAAAGTATTTAAAAGATAAATAAATGTATAAAGCTCTTAAGCTTCGCAGAGCAGTGTTCACCAAAAATCTCCATGCTGATACAAATTCTGATAAAAAAAAAATGTGCTTAAAAGCACATGCACATAAAGGTTTGCAAAACTACCCTCATAAAGCACAAAATGTACAATATGACAACAATTAGTTTTCAACAATTTTTTTTAACCAATTCACCTGAAACTGTAACAAAAGAACTGTATAGAAAGAAAAGAGAATGTGGGAGCCTTAACTGTTAGAGTTAAGAAAGGTTAAAGCAGTTGGTCCCCAGTTCTTTAATTAAGTGGTTATCTAGGGTAAGGAAACTAACTTTTTTTCCTCCTTGACAGTGACTCACCACAACTTTCTACACTGTAAGAGAAGCACAGGCATGTTCAAGTTATCAGAGCACCACATGAAGCTGACATGCATCAGAGAAAAATCAGAACTGAAAGGCACAGATAGCAGAGAACGTAAGAGAATTTCTTTCTCAATTCCATTTCCATTCAAATTCATAATTTGATTTAAACTATATCAGTAGTAAACGAAGAGAGATTAAAATAACCTAAAATGAGAATCTGACACAAGAGTGAATGTTAGTAAATTAAGATAGAATTATTTCTCAAAACTAATCAGTTGAATAACTGGAGGATATAGCAACACATGTATGGGCCACTTTGGCATTTAGATCATAGTATTAATTTAATTCCATTTCTACTGATTCAGACATATCATAAAAACTGTTTCCTCCTGGAATATATAGCTTTGCTGAAGCATCTTTATCTCTTTTTTATTCTGGACTTTACAAAGTCTCATTTGGGAGAATGGGAAAATGTTTGATAGTTTAGCAGTTTCTTTGCCTCCTTCGGATCAAATGTTCCGCAAAAGGTTTTGTGGGAACGCTAAATATGAATGTAAATAAATGCGGATATGTTAGAGACGATCATCCCTTCTAAGAGAATACATTGTAATTTTCTTATAGTCATTATGTGATTCAGATACTTCTGTTTAGAAGATATTTAGACATGTAATTTTCAGGATATTTCAAAGGGAGGAACAGAATGATGATAATCCTGGTATTATTCCTTTAAATTATAACTGGATACTAGGGAGTAGAATAGTTATGTAATCTGTTGTAGATGAAAATGCTCCTTTATAACTAATTTTCATTTCAATTTTCACTGAGGGAGCTCCTGGAATTGCTGTCCTGTTGGCTGGAGAGCCTTTCAGTCCAACTGCTATTTTCCTCTTAATGACAACAAGACATGGGCTGATAGTGGAAAGAACTGTACAGGGATGGGGGCTCACCTGGCCACTATCAGTACAGAAGCTGAGCAGGTATGCTGGTAGGCTCACATCATTTTCTCTGGTGATTCGAATCTCTTTGCAGAGAAAGAAGAATCTCTCTGCTCTGCTACGCTTTTGTGCCTTCGCTTCATTTGTCTGGAAAACCTTTTCTTCTCTTTCATTTTCTTCATATGACCAATTTCTTTGAATCTTTCTAGATTTAATTCATGTATTATTTCCTCCAGAAAACTATCCTCACCATCTTCCCTACTTTACCTTTTCTATTCTAAGCTGGAGGTACTTCTGTGGTGCATACTGTGTGATCATGGCACTTACCTCAATGCCCTGCGATTGTCTATTCAATACACCATCTCTTCTAAAAACTCCTTTGCAGAGGGTTGGGGCCATGCGTTACTCATCTTTGCATCTCCAGTGTCCTGTACAATGCTAGACACACTGGCTAGGTCCTAATAAATGTTTGGTGAGCAAGTGAATAAATGAATAGTTAATTGAGACTAAAATAGCTACTCAGGATAAAGTATAGGAAAAATAATTTGGATATATGGTTGTAATTCTGAATTTAAAAATCTTAAGGTAAATTCAGTTCTTTAAAAGTTGAAATTTATTTCTTCATGTAATATATTTCTATGTATGTACCATGACTCATATTCTACTCTTTTATTGATCATCGGGGCTTCCTGGAGGATTCTGTTTTCATGACTTTGCAACTTACAGGTTCACTGATTCTTTGAATAAAATGGAATTTAATAAAGTAAAGGATTAAAGAAGGCAATTTTAAAAATAAAACTTCTTGAAAATCTGATCCCATTAGAGCGGGTACTGAGAAAAAAGAGAAGACAGACAGGGTGCAGGAGGGAGAACAGATCTCACAACTGTCTCTCCGAGTTTATTTCTTATCCTTTTTATACATAATCTGTTCCTTTTGGTATCCCAAGATAACATAATTAAAGTAACATCCTGAAGATCAAGGTATAATCGACACTTCCTTTGATACTCCCTTTGACACTCCATTTATCTATACTTAATCTTCTTCTTCCTGGAATTCCACAGAACCAGCCTTTTCCTTTTTATGCAAACAGGCCTCCCGAGATAAACCATGCACTCTTTTGAATTTGGGGAGCTTTATCTCCCTACACTCATCTTTGCATCTCCAGTGTCCTGTACAATGCTAGACACACTGGCTAGGTCCTAATAAATGTTTGGTGAGCAAGTGAATAAATGAATAGTTAATTGAGACTAAAATAGCTACTCAGGATAAAGTATAGGAAAAATAATTTGGATATATGGTTGTAATTCTGAATTTAAAAATCTTAAGGTAAATTCAGTTCTTTAAAAGTTGAAATTTATTTCTTCATGTAATATATTTCTATGTATGTACCATGACTCATATTCTACTCTTTTATTGATCATCGGGGCTTCCTGGAGGATTCTGTTTTCATGACTTTGCAACTTACAGGTTCACTGATTCTTTGAATAAAATGGAATTTAATAAAGTAAAGGATTAAAGAAGGCAATTTTAAAAATAAAACTTCTTGAAAATCTGATCCCATTACGCATTTGTTAAGTAGTTTGCAAGTGTGATCTCAATTAATCTTCACAATAACTCTATAAAGTAGTGGAGTTGTCCCTTTCGAAGATAAGAAAACTGGGTTTAGGTAAAATTAAAGCACTTGCTAACATTACACAATAAAATAGCAGAAGCAGGATATGAAAACAGATCTCTGTATTGCCAAAACTTTTGTGCGTAACTACTAATCTAGGTGACCTCTTTTCTCTTTTCCTAATATAACAACAATCACTTGGTATATTTATAAAAATTTACATTTTTATGCAGAACTTCATTATTCAATTTTTGGAAAGACAATATTCATATTTCCTGGGACTTACACGTGAGAACCCTGACGGCCAGTGGCAATGGATGGATAAGACACCATTTAACCCAGACATGACGTGAGTATATCGACCGGGTTAAATGTGATTTACAGGCACAGATGAGAAGAAGGGAGCAAGAGCAATTTATTTTGGGGTGGAACATACTAATGTAAAAATACTTACTTAGCACTATGTGTTGAGTCACCTCTGGACTAGTATACTACTATTCTTGTATTGAACAGTACAGCTTTAATTTTTTTACTTCGGGGCATTTTCTATGCGTTGTCTCCTTACACCTCCATATATATTTTTTCTTTTTTTTTTTCATTTTAGATTCTGGCATAAGGGTGAACCCAATAACCATAAGAAAGAAAATTGTTTTGTCCTTGTTAATCACCAAAACAAATGGGCCTGGAATGATTTTCCTTGTGACTTTGAAGCAAGTAGGATTTGTAAGATACCTGGAACAACATTCAACAGAAACGTATGAAGGGATCCTTGTAATGAGGACAGAAGAGAAGAACCTATTAGACTAGTGCAGAATATACATGCATCATTGGAATAGAGAAAACATGCTGGGCCATAGAACATTTTCCGTCATGCTGTCTTTATTTATTTTGTTCAGTTCATTCAAGATAATGTATTTTTGTGTGGTGTTTCAGTGTAAGGAATCATCGTTTCTGTGAAAATCAGTTGTCATCAACTTTGCTTTCTTGATAGTATTTCAAAGTATTTACCTTTCAAGTAGCATGCATTTATTATACATCTAATGGAATGGCTTAAATGGTACAGAGTCTTAGTCATTTCTTCCTCTGCTCAAAATCTTAGCTCTTCGAATTCAAAAGCAGGCTATTCCAATTGGTAGTGGTACACCAATTTTAACCTAAATATCATAAACCCTTTAAGATTTTGAACAATATTTTTATTGTTTGATGCTTCATTTTCAGACTTTTTAAGAATATGTCATTAGCTTGACATTTCATGAGCAAAATATTTTCTGAACAACAGTATAGAATAGTTCTGAATTATGATATTGCACAGGTAAAAAAAAAAGTCTACCTACCTTTTAAAAATTTACTTCTTACTCCATTCTAAATGTCTTCCCAAAGCAAAGATTCTCAAGTTGACTTATTTATTTATTTATTATTGTTTTTGAATGGAAAAATCCCATACAGGCCACCTTAACCAAACCTTCAATTCTATAGCTAAGGAAACAAAAACTTTGTGAAGCCAAAGAGCTCACCCTCACATTGCTAGTTCATGGCATAGCCAGGACTATAGCTCAGCTCTACCTTCTATAAGAGGTAAAATGTACTCCCTTTGTTATTACAGGAAAGTTACTGGGCTGACTGGGCCTCTTGGCTAACAGACAGTTAAAAGTTTCTGATTATTTGAAAAAACATTGTATTGGTGTTTCTATATTTTTAATTTGAATCAGAATCATATTTGCAAACAGAATCTATAGCCAAAGAGTTAAAAATTGGAAGAGTTTAGCAATGTGTCTAGATAAATTATCAATATAGGAAGATCAACAATATTTCTATATAATATCTGCAAAATATAAAAAATGTATTTTTATACAAAATATTACACTTACAATAGCAATATGTCTATAAGATATCCAAGAACAAATCTGACCAAATGTGCAAGTTTCATGAAGAAAATGATAAAACTCGATTGCAAAACCTGTAAGCCAACCTGCTAGGACTCGGCTATCTGACCCTCTTCACCCCATCATGTGAACTATGACTTTTCTGTCTGGTCCTCTCACTTGGGCTCAGACACCCATGCTTCTCAAATTAGCTTAGCTTTTCACACTTTGGGCTGGTCTGCCACTCTACCAGGATGTACTCTGGAATCCAGTGAGGCTCTGACATCTTTACTACACTTTCCACCCCCATCCTTCCTGTTACACAGAATCACCCTGGTCAGGCTCTAAATTCCTTTGGGGGTAATTATGCACCCCTCCCCCGCACGTACACACAGGTAAAAACTAACTTACTTTGCATCATTTGATGAATGACTTTAGGACTGTATTTTTAGGGAAGGAAAGGGGGGGAAAGGGTTGGGAAAAAGAGAAAAGAGAAGAGCAAGAACATTTTACATGATTCTTTTTATTTTTCCTTTACTTCAGAGTGTCTTCTTAGGAAATAATTTTATGTGGTAACCTATAAAGCCCAAAAACTTCTTGAAGTACCAGAATTTTAAAATTTCACTTCAATTTTTCATTTGTTAAATTCAAGCAAAATTAAATTTAATATTTTTAAAAGTATCATCTGTCGTACGATTCCTTTCTGAATTTGTGTGTGTGTGTGTGTGTGTGTGTGTGTGTGTGTGTGTGTGTATGCATACACAGTAGTCCCTCCTTATCCACAGGGATACTTTACAAGATGTCTACGACTGTGGATAGTACCAAACCCTATGGTTTTTTTTTTTTATACATACATAATTTTTCACTTAAAAAACACTTTATGGCTTCTCTGGTATATCTGAATTGCCAGCATCACTACTCTCATGCTTTAGGGCCCTTATTAAGTAAAATAAGGGTGCCTTGAACACAAACACTGGGATATCATGACAGGCTGATCTGACAACCTAGACAGATGCTAAGTGAATAATAGGTAGGTAGTGTATGCAGCTTGGAGATTCTGGACAAAGGGATAATTCATGTTCTGAAAGGGATAGAGCGTAATGGCTCAAGATTTCATTATGCTACACAGGACAGCGAACAATTTAAAACTTATGAACTATTTCTGAAATTTTCCATATAATATTTTTGGACTGTGGTTGACTATAGGTAACTGAAACCACAAAAAACAAAACCTCATGTAAAGGGGGGATATATATTATATATAATATTCATCTTCCACCCCTTTGTCTATTCTTCCATCTGCAAAATATAGAAAGTGCATTTTCTATATTTTTGAAGTCATAGAAAGTTTTCTGGGGTGATGTTCAATCAATTAATGTTCATGATAATTACTTCTGCAACTTAGGATTTTCATTTTTATATAATTTGCTCTGTAAAAATTTTAATAATGAATATATATAATTTTTATAAAATGTAGTAGAGTGATTTGTCTTTTAAAAATATTGGGGGCCCAAATAGTAATATTTAAATCTTAACAGTGATTTATTTTGGAAATATGGTGAAGATAACTGGAACTTAAATTATTTGTCTGGAAAATTCTTGTTTGAGAAGCAGATCATGCAGTTGAAACTGTTTTAAAATACACAAATACTTAAGTACTAGGAAACCCAGAAAGTTAAAAAATAAAAGTATAATTACTCATCCATACTCCCAAGACTAAATCTGTAGCAATTGTTTATTTTCTTACCAAACTTTGAAGACAAAGTTAGTTGCACAACTTAAATTATAAATGTGGTGAAACAATATACACTGATATTTTCATATGTCTTTCAATATTGAAATAAACTTTAAAGTAAATTATAGCTACCTACATGGAAACATTGATGAACAAAAACATCTTCATATGTCTTTCAATGTTTTCTCATTGATGTTTATGATTTGAATAAAGGGAATTAGAAAATTGAAAATATATGTATTGAATTAGTTTTAAGTTGGATGACTTTTGGTTTAAAGGCATATTAATTTCAAAACCACAGATTGTCACCTATGCCTAAGAGAAATAAACGTTTGTAAAGAAAGTCAATATTTTATATTTACTTGTTCAGTTGAATTTTCCTATTCAATAATTACACATTAATTCCAATGTATGAATTTTGAGGGTTTCTTATGGTGCTGTGTGCAAGAAACATGGTTATAAAAGCTGCCATGTTGCCTACATATTCTTGAATAACCTTATCAGTATTGATAGAATAAATGGATAGGCTTGAGACAGAGAAGTGTAAAGCTGAATGTTCTCTTAAGATAATTCAACTACTGGATTCTAGCCCTGACTGAGCAATAGATACAAATTCAGCTAAGATCCAGTTAGTCAGTGAAAAAGAACGGAAAAAAAAGGGAGTTCCCTGGATGAGTAGGCAGTCTCTTTGGAGCTAAAGATTAGCATGCCCTTTCCCTTAGGGCCTTTG